GACTCGAGACCGGTGAGTGGTGCAGGTGTCGCTCATTATCAATTACTCCACCGGCCCCGCTCCGTTCCCACGGCTCTCGGCCCCGCCCCCACTCGTCACAATTATCTTATCATTACAATATTAATTGATTTAAATTCTTATGTGGATATTTTAAATATATATTTCTATTAAGTTATTACAAAATTAATAGATTTAAATTGTAATGTGAATATTCATTTTTATTATTTATTTGGACATTTTGTTTAAATATTTAGACAATTATTTTTATCAACAATTAATATAATTAATCTCTTCTCTGTGAATTTGACGAATTTCTTTGAATTGCAATTCAGTAAATTCCACGTCATGTCATTCCAATTAAACATCCTGTGTGCTTAAAGGCAGGGTATGTCATTTTTCAAAAACACTTTAGAAAACTGATTCGGGCCGAATAGCAAAACAAACTTGTAGCCAATCAGCAATAAGGGGGCGTGTCTACTCGTGATGTGGAGGAGAGAGCTTTCAGTGCATGGGACGGTCATTAGCCGAGCCGAGCGACAGAAAGATAGAGATGGCGGATAAAAAACAAAAGAGGAAAACGTCTGCGGAAAGATAAGGCAAGAAGTAGGACCCGTGTAAATATCGGATCAGCTTTCCAGCGCTGGAGAGAACTCAAGGAGCGGAGGCCTGCGATCGGACGCCGAGGTTGCTTTGTTTCTTCTCAATAGGTGAGTAACACCGTGTCTAAAACAGCTAAAGTCTGCCTACACTGGACACGATCAAACGACCGTTGAAAACCATTTGAAATTTGTGTCAGCACGTCATAAATAGAACCCGGCAGCAGTTTTCTGTCGGGGATTTGTTGCGCCGCGCCGCTCACGTCCGATGTAGACACGGTGTAACATTGGTTTTGCTTTGTTTCACAGAACGAATCGTTGCCTGGGTTGCGTACGTATATGTGGGGCGGAGCAAATGTCAACATTGGCTACCAGAAATCGCTTACTCTGCCTTTAAGTTCATCCAACCGTGTTGAGGCATTTACCTGGTAGTGTACTCTGTGACCGCTAGAGGGCGGCTGATGCAAATCCTGCCAACAGAAGACAAATGAGTGAGTACACGAATTTATAACATGATGGCGACATAACTATTGTTACATTTGAGGTTATATGTTGATGTTGAAATGAAGTAATTGTATTGATTCAGTGCTCAATGAAATCAGTCTGACAGGAGCATCATGGGAAGTGCTCACCTCCTGCAGTCTGTCAATGTACAGTCGACAGGTTTCCAGGTCACAGTCTCCTCTCACCACCACGATGCCAACAGGAGTAGCTGAACAAGCAAACACACACACACACACTGTCACTTCATATATTCACCTCTCTTACAGCAGCACTGTATTATGATATGTGAACTGAACTGTGGGAAACGTCAGGATTAGCTTACAGATGTCACGCAGACGCTCCTTGTCGAGCTGCATGCTCTCGTACTCCTGCAGGACGATGCGGTTCACGCGCAGACGCAGACGTTCAGGCACGGCATGAGGGCTGCGATACGCAGACGACAGCAAATAAGAACTGATGCCACATTTATGAAATATCTAATCAACAAAGGTGCAGGAACTACATGAAAACAATTTATGATCATACTGATTCATAATGAATAACTATGGAAACAAAATATTAATCTCAAACGATGAGGAGCGTGTGAGGAAGAGTGAAAATGAGCTTCATAAAAGGACAGGTGAAGATCAGGAAGGACTGAAGTCATTAATGCATAAAAATGCTTTTTGTGGCCGTTTGGTCTGTTTAGACCGAATCCGTCATCCATATTCAAGTCAACATGATTGTCCCTTAAACGAATCATGACATATTCAAATTAATCATTATTTACTATTATTTCTGTAACCTGCAAAATTCTGTAATTTTGTATTGTAATCGGCAATATTTTATAAAGCATTTAAAATGCTTAAATAGCTGTTTGGTTAATGATTAGCATTATTTTTCCGCCTGTGAAGTCCATATAGTCAACAATGCTGGTATAGACAAACATAAATGAATAAATGAATGAATAAATAAATAAAATTAATTAATACAAATTAAATTATTATTTTTATTTTAATACTTTATATGAGAGAGAGAGGGAGAGAGAGAGAGATGGAGGCGGAGAGGGACGGAGATGACAGACAAACGCGTGAAGGGCAACCGGTCATTTAGGAGGAGAAAGAGAGATGGAGACAAAGAAAGAAAACCCCACTGAGAGCGGCACAGAGAGCAGAACCAGCACACATGGATTAGTGCTGTTACTAGAACATTCACCAGTCAAGCACACACGAGCCGCACACACACTGTTAGACTGTTAGTTACACACTCTCATCTGTGTGTGTGTTTGAGGGGGAAACCCTCATTCTGAGATCAACTGTAAGTGATGTGCATTTTGTGTGTCTGGATCTATTAACTTATTCAAAATGCATTCAAAATATCATTTATACACATGAAGACTTCACACACCTACACCTCTTTTATGATAAAAATGTGTTTCATTTTTGAATAAAAATTTATTTTAGATACTTTTGTGGGGGCAAAAAATTATATATATATATATATATATATATAAATATATATATATATATATATGAAATATATACAGTATAAAAAATACCAATGTTACTAAAGTAATACTATGTACTAATACTAATGTAATCTTGTAATGTTAAAGATTTCCATTTCAAATAAATGCTGTAGAATTTTCTAAGCAGCATGACTGTTTAAAAAAAAATCTTACCAACCTCAAACTTTTCATCTATTATTGCTTATTATTTAAATATATTGTATATTATTATTTCAGCTTTTTTTAATATTACACTTTTGTAGCCATTGGGGGAGTTTTTTTTAAGAAAACAATAGAAAAATAAATATGACTGACACGACCCCTGAAGACCCTCACGGATGTCAAGGTCATCAAGTCTCTAAATATCAGACAATTTGACCTTGCAATGACAGAACAAAAGTTGGTTCAGACTGTCAAATATCATGTAGTAAAATGACAAAAAAAAAAAATGAAACCAAAAACAAAACCTTGTCTAAGAAGCTCTCACAAGCATTTTAAACCTGATGTATTTTGCACCGGTGCAGGAGTGTATTTGAGGGACTCACTCGTTGAGCAGCGGCACAGACGTGCGTCTCTTGCTCTTCTGCAGCATGTTGGCCTGGTTTCTCAGAGATATGCTGAGGGTGGAGGGCGCGAGGCGGCACGGCTCTCCGTCCACCTGCACCGGCAGCGTCTTGAAGGTGGTGAGGACCACCTCTCTGCACTGATGCAGCCGCTCGCCGTGGCCGCCCACCTGCAGCGCCGCCTTGTGGTGAAGACGGGATGCATGTGAGTCATGAGCCCTACATTTCCTTCTCAGTCTCACAGAAAGAGCTGAAGCGCTCACCAGTGAGGCCATGGTGAAGCCGATCACCTCGATGCAGCCGTCGTCGTGCCTCTGAGGCTCGAAGTCTCTGTGGTCGCCCGTGTTGCCCCACGGCATGGTACCAGCACAGTACCTGCAGACAGCAGGTTAATGAGGTGAATAAAGACAGGCAGTGCTGACCACATGTTTAAAGCTTTCAACATAAAACCCACAGACAGGCAGGAAATATCCTCATAACTTACTACTGATATAATGAACTAATTATTGAACTTTTTGACATTATTTGAAAGATTCAACTGTGATTAACGTGTAATGCTAATGAGTATTACATAGTATACTAAAAGCTTAATTTGATTTTTTGTTTGCATGACCCTATTCATCACTATAATATTTAAAAGGGTTAAATAATGTGAAAAAAACATCTCTTTAAAAAAAATAATGTATTTTAAATGTTTTTATACAGTTTGCATGGTGCTGTTCACTGTCATTATATTTCAATGTTTCAATAAAGTAAAAAAAAAACAAAAACAACAAATACATTTTTTAATGTTTGTTTTTATCCAGATTGCATTACCTTATACATTACAATTATATTTCAAATGGTTAAAATTATTTAAAAATCTAATTCTGTTCCATAAAAAAAAAAAAAATAAATAAATAAATATTTTTCAAATGTTCATTTTCATCCAGTTTGCATGACCCTATTCATCACTTACATTAAGAGGTACATAAAGAAAAAAAAAACTAATATATATATATATATATATATATACATATACACACACATATATATAATTAAATTCAATTAAAAAAATATTAAATTAATGCTATAAAATATATAAATAAATGCTTGCAGTCTATATAGTTTTTAATGTTCTATGCAATTTCTGCGAAAATGCTGAATTACATTTTTCCCTGTCCGACTCTATAATTCTGTGACATTTCCCCTCATGGATAGTTTAAAACTTAGTTTGATCTTTCTGAAATCATCTTTGAGGAAGTGACATCATGTAAGTCAGAAGTTTCTCTTACAGTCTTCATCAGTATTTCATTATAGTCACTTATTATAACTGACCCTTTCAAGCTCAACATTTCAACACTGTTCTGTGAAAAATATTACACTAATCATTTGTACAGAACTGTTTTTTCTTGGCACTAAGTACAAAACTAATGTGTTTGATAAAAGTCCATTATTAGCTGTTTTGTGCTGACCTTCAACCCAGACACATTTCCAATGTACCAAGCTTGACAGAAAAACATGTTTTGAAAGAGAACTGGCATATTTTTTTATTTGTATACTTATAGAAACACAGAATATCTATGCAATTGCAAGTTGAAATGTATTGTCTGTCTAATGCATTTAAAGGTAAACTACATCTAAATGATCATTTTGCTATCCTCATTAACATATTCAACATCCATCCAGTTTAAGAAATATAATTACCTTTTTAAATTGCAAATAATCAAACATTTAAATTTGTGTTAAATGGAATTTTAAAACTAGACACATTCACATTATATTAAATGCCAATATTAGTTTAGTAAATGGTGAATCCAGGTTACATTATTAAATTCAATCTGCAGCAAATGTTACATATTTCAATTCAGAAAAGGATACTACTTAAAAAAAATACAGAATACTTTTCAGAAAAGTATTTTACTTTAAAATTACATTAACTTCTTTTTTTTTTTTTTTTACAAATGGCCAAAAACATATTTAGACATACATACATACATACATACATATATATATATATATACATATATATATACATATATATATATATATATATATATTTAGATTCGTCTAGTCATTTTTTATATGAATACATTAATATTAATAATTTATACATTATACATTTAATATTAATACATTAGTAGGCTTTTTAAAATATTCATACATAATTTTTAAAAATATTTACAAGTAATTAATATTAATACATTTTTTAATTATACAAATATGTAAAAAATATTAAATAAAAAAATTAATATTTTTAAAGATATTTAGATGTGTCTTGTAAAAATATTAAGTATCTTTAAAAAACGAGATATTATTAAAAATATTCAGACAAATATATTTTAGCATATTTAGACATTTAAAAAAATAATAAGATGTATTTTTTTTAAAAATACTTACATATATTTTTTATATATCCAAATATGTTTTTAAAAACTCTTTATTTATTTATTTATTGATTGATTTATATTTAATGTCTGATGAGATTCTACCAGAATTTATGATTAAAAAAGTATGCATAAATGGCACCTGTTCCTGAGTTTGCCCCATATTTTGCACAAACCTGGGAATATTCAAGAAGACGATGCACTGAAACTTCAGTTCCTGAATCTTGGGTGTGAGATCTGTACCGTCACACTGTCAATATGAGGAAGGAAAATAATTACAGAAAAAGAACATCAGGTGAATGATGGCAAAGTTAGCATAAGCGTAAAGGAACAGCTGGAGCGGGCAGTTCCTGTCAAACCACAGGCTTTCATGGGAGATTGTGCTTAAGTTTCATACTCACCACCACCCTGACGTGCTTGGACATGTCCCTGGAGCTCCGCTGGAGGAAGTCAGAGAAAGCTGCCTGAGGGGACACAAGTACGAGTCACACACACACACACACTTACTCAGTCTGTCAGAGAGACGGGAACTCTGCCTACCCCTGCATAGAACATCTTGTTACGAAAGCGACTGTTGAATTTCTCGGGATTGGCTTCTGTGAAGGAACACAACGACAAATGATTATGACTCAGATACAAAAACAGATACATAAAGATCTCAGCCAACAGGGCCATTTTATTCAAGTCAAGAATTCATTTTTAAAAGGTCCAATCATTGAAAACAGGATTTTTCTTGCTCTTTTGAACTAAAAGCTTTCAGTGTGCCACATACTCATATACTCTCAATTTCATGGTCATGTCATCATATTAACATATCCCCGCCCACATTTACACATCAACACCCATTCGGTATTCAGCAGCTTGCCTCTGATGAACAATAATATGAACTAAACCACAACTTAGCCAATCAAAACATAAAAGACAATTTACATATTAAGGCATTAAGACTAAACATTAAGTCATTTAAAAAAAAATATTTAGATGCATCTTATAAAAAATATTAAGATATATGTTTTAAAAATATTAAGAATTTTTGGAAATATTAAGAATTAAAAAAAAGATTTGTGTTTTATAAAAACTATTAAGAAATTAAAATATTTTTTAAACATTAAGACATTAAGAAATGTTAAATAATATTAAGATGTATTTTATATAAATATAAACCTATTTACTAAAATATTAAGACATTTTTAAATATTTAGACGTCTTATAAAAAATATTAAGACGTTTTTTAAAAATATTAAGGTTTTTTTTGTACTTATATGTAAAATAATTATACTTTTTTATATTTTAAGAATATGAAAACTAAAAGATTAAAGAATGTTTTCGGTGCATTTAATCCTTGACTAACAGGTAATAAAGTACATCTAATAAAATAAATCAAATAAAATGGCTCATAGGTAGGACAGAGCGTCACAAACCTCTGGACTCGTGGAACTCCAGTGTGACGTGGGCATCAAAGCCGAGGCTGAAGTAGTTATTGAACACGTTTAGAGGAAGCTGAGAACAGACACACAAATCTATCAGCAGCGTATAAACGTAACCCAGTCTCTGTGTCAGCATGAACACAGCCATCACCTTCTGCGTTCCCTCCTCCGGCTGAACGGCCGATCGCTCCACCTGCAGATTCCAGCGGTCCACCATAGCTTTAAAAAAAATTAGGCATACTTTTGAAAAATATTTAGACATCTTTTAAAAAAATTAATTACATAAAAATGTAGACATTTTAAAACATATTTATCTTTTAAAAAATTTAGACACATTTTTACTATTTTAAGAATAAAGATTAAAACACAAGTGCCTCACTTACAGCAGCTTCTCAGCCAATCAGAGCAGCCCGATCATATCAGACTAATGCTGATGTCTGGGGTATAAAATTATTTATTTATCAATAATTAATTTAAAGACGATTCAAGATGAGTTGACTCACCCCTCCCCAGTTCAGTGTCCTGGCAAGGTCATTTCCTGTACCAAGAGGAAGCACAGCTACAGGAGGTTGTGGGTTCATTTGTAGTTCATCTAAGGCCGAGAGAATCCAGCCCACCTAGACAAAAGAGGACAAACCACTCAAACTCAGGGTCAGAAATGCCATAGCGCTCAGGAAATCCAAGTTTCATCTCGCAGGAGTCATAGATCTAGAAATTACCCGCAAGAAAGCGTGACACTGCAAACCACAGAGCCACCATTAGCTAATTACAGTGTTTTGTCACTGCGTGTTCGTTGTCGTTCCACACATTTGTCACCAGAGGGGGGTGCGTCCAAAATGTCTAAACTTCACATACAGTGGGTATAGAAAAGAATCACCCCCCTTTAAAATAATCACATTTTGTTGCTTTGCAGTCTGATATGAAGACACACACAGGTTTGGTTTCATCCAGCTGTATTTACTCAGTGCAACTTATAACATCCAACTGAAAGACAAGTAATATTTTATAACATCCAAGTCTTTTCTATACCCACTGTATCTGATCATCCCAACATGCACTGCATCTTACCGTTCCATCTCCTCCACAGGCAAGGATGCGAAGATTTGGCACTTTCCTGTATAATTCCAGCCTGACGGACAGAGGGAAACAATAGCGATGTGTGTTACTGATGCATTTAGCATGCTAATTAACAGAATACACCATTTAGCATAACAAATCCAAACAGAAGAGCTGTTTAAAGGCACTGAACAGTGTTTGGACACATCAGGCACATTTAAAAGTATGAATTTCACTGCATTAGATAAAAATATCAAAACAAGTATCATTTTATCACAACTAACTTCACGTTTCTGAGCCATTTTGTAATGATATTGGTAAGACTTTACAATAAAGTTTACTTCGTTATCATCAGTTAATGCATTAGGCATCATGAACTAACAATAGACTATACTTTTACAGCATTTATTAATTTATTAATGTTAATTTCTATTTACACACCAGTACATTTAACATTTCAAGCTGTGTAAACAAATATCAGTATTATAAAAGGACAGGAATTAACAATGAACAACAATATATTTAATAATTATTGATAAATGCAATAAAGTTATCATTAGTAAATTCTAATACCTAATACATTAACTAATGCTAACAAACTGAACCTTAATGCACAGTGGGTACCATTAGTAACGTTAGTTAATGCATTAACTAACATTAACTAACAACGAGCAATACATTTGTTCCAGTATTTATTCATCTTTGTTAACATTAATAAAAACTACAACTGTTCATTGTTAGCTCAGGTCTATTAAATAATACTGACAGATACAGCTTAAAATGTATTAGTACATTTTGAAGTTAACATTAAGATTAATAAGTGTTTTCGAAAGCCTTTTGTGGGAACACTTTACAATAAGGTTCCATTTGTTAAAATTAGTTAACTACATTAGTAAACATAAATTAACAATTAAATTTTTTTTTTATTAATCTTAGTTAATGTTGATTCCAACATTTACCAATACATTATTAAAATCAAAAGTTGTATCTATTCATGTTATTTAATGGACCTGAGCTAACATGAACTAACAATGAACAGCTGTATTTTATTAACTAAATTCAACAAAGATTAAATAAATACTGTAACATGTGTACTGCTCATTGTAAGTTAATGTTAGTTAATGCATTAAATATAGTTAACAAATGGAACCTTACTGTAAAGTGTTACCCATTTTGTCTTCATTTTGAATGTTCATTCATCATGTAAAGCCTACAAACATTAATTTGTGAAATGTTTTGCATGAAAAATATTTTTCTTTGAAATAAATGGCACTTAATTTGATATTTTCATTTTTTCCTTCTAATGCAATGAGATTTTTAAGTGTGGATTAAATGTTTTGGGGGCCACTGCATGTGAGCGCGTGTTGGTTTTCTGTTTTAATAGAGTGAGTTTAATCACAGCTCTGTCAGACAGCTCTGAAGAAAAGCCCTCCAGCCGCCCAGCTGTGTCTGCCCTCCCATCTTAATACTCTCTCTCTCTCTCTGTCAGCAGTAGAGCCCATCGCCTGTGTTTGCTGCCTCACAGCTCAATTACTGAGGCGGTGGGCAGTGAGGAGAGAAGCTTCTAGAAGACTGAACTCCCTCACAGAACACAGCACTGCTGAGATCCAACGACTACATAATTAATGTGGTCAGGACAAAGAAATGGTGGGATTACATAGTGCATTAAGGGAGGGAGAGATGATCTGAAATGTAATGAAAGAGAGCGCTGAAATCGAGAGACTCACGCTTCTCTGGGCCCTCCCTGAGACAAATCAAACACCTGCCGAGGGTTCAGGATCCACATGAACATCTGCAGCAGCTTCGTCCCCTGAGAACCACAGACAGAAGATCAGACAGACAAACGGACAGAAGGACAGTCAGAGAGAATGAAAGATAGAACGATAGATAGACAGAACGATAGAACGATAGATAGAATGATAGACAGAACGATAGACCGACAGAACGATAGACAGATAGATAGATAGATAGATAGACAGAGCGATAAGAGCGATAGATAGATAGATAGATAGATATAGACAGAACGATCGACAGACAGACAGACAGATAGACAGACAGACAGACAGACAGACAGACAGAATAACAGCATGAAAAACAAAATGACAGAGTGAAAGATAGAACGACAGACAGAACGATAGACAGAACGACAGACAGACAGACAGACAGATAGATAGACAGACAGACAGACAGATAGAATGACAGACAGAGTGATAGACGACAGACAGATAGAACAACAGCATGATAAACAGAATGAAAGAGTGATAGATAGAACGACAGACAGAGAACAACAGACAGACAGAACATTAGACAGAGTGATAGAGTGACAGATAGAACGACAGACAGGCAGAATGTCAGACAGAGTGACAAAATGACAAGACAGAACGACAGAGTGGTAGATAGACTGACCGACAGACAGAATGTTAGATAGAATAGCAGATAGACATAATGTTAGACAGAACAACAGACAGACAGACAGACAGATAGATAGATAGATAGGTAGATGGATGGATGGATGGATAGACACAGACAGAACAACAGATGGTAGACAGAACCACAGACAGGCCAACAGACTGATAGTCACAGATCTCTCTTCCCACACAATAAAATAAATGGACATGAAATATTGATTTCGTCTGAAATTGTTTATGTAATGCATCCATTTATGTTTTAATTAAATATTCATGCTAAGTAGTTGCATATTAAGCAGTTTAATGTAGAGCTGTTCGGTCATTATGGCCCTTTCAGAGATTGTTGTTCTATAATGACTGTACATTATTCCTCCATTAGTCTCTTTATTCAGAGCATCACCTGGTTTCCTCCACTCTTGGGGTTGACGAACACCAGCACTGGCTTCATCAGCGGTGAGGGCAGCGGCTTCAGCATGAACGGACGCCATTTTGATTCCTGCAAAAATCACTTCATTATACTTCGATAAATGCACATTTGCACACAAATACACACACACACACACACACACACACACATCACTGCAGTAAGCTGTGGGGACAGATGATCATGAGCAGGAGTTAAGGGAAGAGAAAGCCCTCAGAAAACACTATAGCATCATTTAAAAGGAGGGACAGGACAGGAATCAGATCTACTCACATCCATCCCCTTTTTGCTGGCTCTTCTTTTGAACGACGTCCGTTTTTTCCTTCGAATGGAGTTTTTAAATGAGCTCTGGGACACAGGAGAGAGACGCCAACTAAGCCAAAACATAACAAAACTAACTCCAGCAGGACTATGTTAAATTAAAGTTTGCCCATTACTGATAGAAGTGTTCGTTTTTAAATTAAAGGAATAGTTCAACCAAAAAGGAAAACTTTTTCATCACTTATTCACCCTCATGTTGCTCTGAACCTGTTGATGAAGAAACTTTCTTTTCTACCAACAAAAGCAAAGACTGACAGCTGTCCAACTCCAAAAAGGATCCATAAAACATCTTAAAAAGTTAACAGGACTTGTTCACGGCATTCCAAGTCTTCTGAAGTCATACAATGAGGAAAAGACCAAAAACAGAATTTATTTCCTTAAAATCTTACTCTGTTTCTTAACTCATTCACATTGTAAGGAAAAGAGCAGTGTGAACATGCTGCAAAACATCTTTATTTTGCAGAATAAAAAGTCATAGTGGTTCAGAATGACGAAGATAATTACAAAATAATTACAAGATTTTCCTTGGTTAAACTATTCCAAAAACACTTTGAATACAAGCAAGCAACTTCCCTTTCAGCAACTCCTGAATTGAAAGCGGCAGTAAAATGCCTTATCACAAAAACCTGCCCCATCGATGCATAAATCCACCAATCATAGCTGAGCGTGTCATCAGTGGGTGTGGTCTAAATATCTGCTATGACTGTTGATGTGATGGGTCAGTTTTTGAAATCAATTCTGGCTTTCAAGGCAACAGATAAACTGTGATGTTAAAAGTGTACATTGCAAAAAATCTTGTCTTGTTTTCATACGGAAGCAATTCTGACTCTTTTTCTCAGAATTGCAACTTTTTTCATCTAAAAAAAAAATTTTTTTTTTTTAATTGAAAATTGCCAGATAAAAATGTTAAATGATGACTTTTTTGTTGCAATTTCAAGTTTACCTCTCTCAAATACTGTATGAGCTTACAGCAATTTCGATAATTTGGATTTATATCTTGCAATTCTGTTTTTTTCCCCCCACAATGAAATAAAAAAATTTAAAAAAAGGTGCAACTACCTCATAATTTTGACTTTTTCTCTCTTGCAATTTTAAGTTTATATCTCGCAATTCTGAATTTATATTTAGCCATTCTGACTTTTCTTCTTGCAATTCTGAGAAAAATCAGAATTGTGACATAAAATCAGAATTGGGAGAAAAATGTTGCAGTTATCTTTATTTTTTTATCCCATGGTGGAAACAAGCTTCCATATTTTCCAGTACAAACATCTAAACATTCTTAAATCAGACACATTTACTTGAGAAGCAAAATTGCACAAGATATTAAGTCTTGCTTTCTGAAAACATTATCAAAATGAAGTACATTTTTGCTTACAATAAGAAAAAATATTTGCTAATGTGGTGAGAAAAATACATTTGCTTCCCATTTGAATTCAAAGTATCCCCCCCCCCAGCATAAGCTTACTTAATTTTGATTATTTATATAAAACAAGACAAAAATACTGAGTCAGAAATAATTTTTGCAGTGTATAAAACAATGAAAGAAGCTCCATATAAAATATGTAGATGAGTTTTATGAAACACACTGTTACTGATATCAAATCTGGCAGCATCAAAGTGTATTTAAGCCGAAGCTGATCAGCATAACTGAGTGCAGAAGACAAGATCATACAGCCCCAGCTTTAAAACACAGTCTAGTGTCACCTTGCATGAGCATCTCCTGCAGGACATTACATAAACCTCAGGCTCAGGTCTTCTCTTACGTGCTGATAAAAAAAAGTTTCACCCCCAAACCATCTGAGGTGAGCGTACCTGCGGTTTCCTGACTTTGATGATCCAGGAAGGGGGTACGATGACCCCAGCGTGAGCTCCTAGCGAGCAGGGCTCCTCGATCTGATGTAGCATGAAGCACGTGACCTTGTTATGGAACTGATGGGACAGAAAAATAAACAGAGAAAGAGATGGAACAATTCTGCATTACATAAACCAGCAAGATTTTGTGAGACGTGCCACTCACTGCCTGCTTGCACCAGGAGCAGCTGATGGCCACAATCTCCTTGCTGTGGAAGAACTTCTGCGGGAAACTCTACAATGAAAGTGAAAGTTAGCATGAACGTACAAGACTTTTGCATAGGACTCCTTCAATAAACCTTGAAGGCGTGACATACTTTTCCGCACTGACGACACTTCCCCTCTTGTCGCCGGCGATGGACCCAGTGATGTCTCAAAACGCTCTGCTGTCGCAAACAGACACAACGGGTCACATGTAAACGTGCCAACAAGGGTTCATTCTGCCATAGCACATGGAGTACAATAAGTATACGTGTAAAACTTCAGTGTGAAATATGATTTAAAGTCGTGTGGCGATGAGGTGGACTCACATCTCGAAGGCATCGAGAGCCGCTCTCTCTGAAGGTGGGTTTGCAGTGGAAGTTGATCTGTGAGGAGACAATGAAAGTAGAATTATTATAAAATGAGGAGCTATTCTTGCTGTAGCTCATTATATTATATTATATTATTAATATAATACAGTTTAAATGCACATCCATACTATATTATTATTACTACTGTTGATTGTTTTAAAAATTAAAAAAATTTAAAAGAAAATAATTTCTAAACTATTAAATAATTCTAAATAATTTCTAATATATTGAGTTTATTAAACTATCCAAAAACAGACATAACTACATTATTATTAAAATATAAAGCATTTTTAATTACATTTCCAGCAAGAAAATATACATTGTAATATATACTGTTAGCTTGATATTTCATGTTGTCTTTTCATGCAATTTCACTGATAAACAAATAAATAGAACTATTACAATATATTGTATTATAGTACAATATTACATATTACAATGTGAAATATGTATACTATATTATTATTATTATATTTTAAAAAATAAAAATAATAAAACTAGTCATCTCTGAACTATTAAATAATTAAAATCAATTAAAACAATTATCAAAAACAGACATTACAATATAGTTAGTAAAATTTCAGCATGACAATATATACTGTGATATACAGTTAACTTGATATTCTTTCATGCAACTGCACTGAGAAATAGATCAAACTTTTATATTATATAACATTATATTATATTAATAGTGTGTATTCATGTTACATACATTAAAATTTATATAAAATGTGATATAATAATATAGAAATATATGCAATGTGAATATCTATCTATCTATCTATCTGATTTTTTTTTTTTTATTAAAAACATAATAAAAAATAATCTCTAATGAACTAATATACATAAACTATCAAAAAAACAGACATTACAACATAGTAAAACATTCATAAAATGTCCAGCAAGACACTATATATTGTGATATATACCGTTACCTTGATATTCTTTCACATCTATTCACCCAACTGCACTGATAACTATATTTGAATACCGCAACAGCAGGAACCCACAACTCCTGATCCTAAAAACCATAACTGCAATACCTAGATTATACCATCTCATCCTATTTCATCATCCTCCTGATGTCTGTTTGAAGAGACAAACGTCAGCGTTCATCTGTTGAGGGCATACTGATGACGTGCATGAGAATTAAACGGATATTTCTGCCTCCGCTCACCTTGTCCAGCTCCTCGATACACGCCGTGTGGACCACGATCTTACAGGCTGCACACTTCCTCCGGGGAGCCGACTTCTTAAAGAGAACCGAACAGCACAAACACACAGAAATTTGTCATAGAGCAAGAGCACACATCTACGATCCATCTTATAATTCAATTGTAAGAGAAATATGCTCTCACCTTCAGCGGTACAAAGCTTCCTCTGAGGCAAGGAATGATTTTGCCAACTGCTTGAAGTGGCAATAATAAAGTTGCCACGGCTCTTGAAAACATCAGAGCGTGGCGCCGCGCTTTAACAAAAGCCTAACAAAATCCTTTTACCTGCTGTACATTCTCAGACTAATAGCTGCCTCTTCCTTTCAATACACACCAGCCTCACATTATCTCATGAAAGAAAATGTCACTGCTAAAACACTCTAATGACACTCTTCTCTGCCTTCAGCTCGCCATGCAAATACAGACTTCTCTCGTCCGTTTGAACCTGTTTAACCACATTATACTCACTGCAATCTTGACCACGCATGTCTCTTCGCCCAGGTAGCAGAGATCGCCGGAGCAATTCGTCTCCAGCCACAGGTGGTCACCGTTCACTGCGTTCTCCTGCGCATAAGGAGATAAACCACAATCTCTCAGGACCTGAAGTGGGACACTCACATAGACTCCATTGTTAAAAAGGCCCAGCAGAGGTTGTACTTCCTTCGCCAGCTGAGGAAGTTCAACCTGTCACAGGAGCTGCTGAAACAGTTCTACTCCGCCATCATTTAATCTGTCCTCTGCACTTCTATAACTGTCTGGTTCAGCTCAGCTACCAAATCTGACCTCAGAAGACTACAGAGGGTAGTCCGGACTGCTGAGCGAATCATTGGTACAACCCTCCCTTCTCTCCAAGAACTGTACTCATCCAGAGTGAGCAAAAGGGCTGGCAAAATCACTCTGGACCCCTCACATCCAGCACACTCCCTCTTTGAACTGTTGCCATCTGGTCGACGCTACAGAGCTCTGGGCACCAGAACGGCCAGACACAGGAACGGTTTCTTCCCTCAGGCCATCCATCTCATTAACACTTGACAATAACTGTGGCAATAACACACACTATTTATTCACTCATACACTTATTTATCTAACACACATACTCAGTCTACATTTCAATTTGCACATAATATACCTGTACATACAACTGTCTATTGTTCTATACCTGTACATACAATTGTCGATTTGTATATTTTTTATTCCTTATTTTACTTGTTCTATTTTTTATTTATTTTTATTTTTTTATTATCTGTGTTTTTTTGTTCTGTCACTGTCATTCTGTTACACTGTGGAAGCTTCTGTCACGAAAACAAATTCCTCGTATGTGTAAACATACCTGGCAATAAAGCTCATTCTGATTCTGATTCTGATTCTGATTCTAAAATCAAATGTTTTGTGGCTTTTAATCCATGTTTACGTCTCATTTGGAAGGCTGTTCTCTCTGGAGGTCACATTCGTATCATTTCAGAAAAGCAACCATTATAAAACTTACTGTTATTCCTTGTGAGGCATAAATTAATGCAATTTCTTTCTTACTTTGGACTCTAATGGTTACTTTTCTGAGTGTCAATGACATATGCAGCAGACAAATGTGAGAACACAATCTAAAAACGAGACAGTCCATGTCTGCTACCTTTGAAGCTAATGTCTATATGCTAATACTCATAAATGCTCACAAAATTTGTATCTACGCTCATTTAAAAGTCAATTTTACGCTGTCAGGAAAACAAATCAAAAGTATTGATTAAATTCTCTCTAGAATGAAAAAAATCCCCTTATGCTAACTGATTAGCATGTAGCAAATCATTATTAAACTAAACTGAATCAACACTAAATTGACTTTAGTTAAATAATGACACTATTTTCTGTAGAAATGCTTTATAGTCTGAAAAAAAAAACTGGTGTTGAATTTTCACTCAGTTCATTACAAAGAAACAGAATTAAACATAACATTTTAAAGTAGAAAGAGACATTTTCTTGTAAAATTTACTCCAACAGTATTTGTTTTACTTGCAACTTCAAAACAATCTTTTTTTTTTACATTTTAGTTCTGAGTTCACTTCATGAACTTTTCAACATGTACTCATTACTGAACTAAATTTAACTCAACAGAATTGAATAATGACATAAGTCAAGGTTTATACACTACAGATCGATTCAAAGCAGCTTCAGAGTACTAAACCAAGAAAAGAACAGTATTATTAATATTTCAAAATCCTTCAATAATGCAACTGTATTCATTTCCTTCTTGAAAAATGTTGCAATATTAATACTGTTACTTTCTTGTTTTATTACTGTGAAGCTGCTTTGAATCGATCTGTACTTTATAAACCTTGACATAACCAATGTATAGGAGCATGTAACGTACATTCAAATCACACAAACACTTATTTCATATGGCAACAACACTGTTGTGTGAGGCTTCAATTAGCACTGACTCGCACACACACTTAGCAGCTTTAGGAAGGCGTATTAATGTTTGATGGCTGCGCTGGTCACATCGGGAACTAGCGGGGAAGGAAAGGCCAGCAAAGACGCACAGGAAGTGCCCCGCTGGGCTCCGCCCCCTCAGCAGTCTCCATCTGTACACACAGCACCTGGATTAACGAGTCTCTCTATTGCCATGCCAACCGTCTTTGCGGGACCCACCCACGACTAACTGCGCTCACCAGTCTGAATGTGCTGATATGTGCAAAACTAATGCACAACCTTATCCTCGACACTAACATTAGCGCTTTAGTCTGGGAATGTCTCATATTATACACAAAACTCACACTATATACATCATTAAAAAAAATGATGAAACATTGTAAACTAGTGCCACCTGTGGTTAACTCATCTCCATTATTTACTGCATTGCTATACTGTTGCTAAATAAAATGAAGTGACATCAAATATAAATATTACATGAAAAACAACAAACTGAAATAAATAAGCTTACGCTGAAGTACTACAATTACTAAAACTATACAGAAATAATATATTAAAGCTAAATAGAGGCATTTATAAAATTAATAATGACAAAAGCTCAAAACAAAACTTAAACTGAAATTCAAATATAACAATAAAAGCTCATTTAAAACTGAATTAATTAAGTTATGTTGAAAAATGTAAGAAAGAAAATGTAATGCAACTAACTGAAATAAAATAAGATTTAAGTGTACACTATACTAAAATGACAAAATAAAACTCAAATAAAACTAAATTAAAGCTAAACAGAAACATTTAAAAAGAAACAATAAATCTTGTAAAAATGACAAGCACAACAAAACTACAAAAAATTTAAACTAAAATTAAAATGAAAACTGCAAGCTAAGTTAAAATATTAATAATACGTAATACTATATAAATATACTATAATAGTATATAAACAATACTAAAATAACACTGGTTCTGGATGGTTATTAGGTGGTCGTTAGGGTGTTTTAGGTGGTTGTGTAGATGGAAAAATCTACATTTTTCAAGTTCTTTGTGCATTTTTCTTTTTTTCTACTTTGCACTTTTTGTTTATTTACTATTTATTCAAGTTTTTTAAGGTATCTAACATTTTGATGCTTTATTTCCATGATCTAAATATTCTTAAAAATTTAAAGTTTGTTGTCATTTGGAAGTGTGTAGGCCTTCTTGCATTATTATTCAGTGGCATAAAATGGTCTTTAAAATGACAATAATATCGCTTATCGCAATTATTTCTGGGGCAATATATCGCACAACAAAAAGTTATTATCGTGACAGGCCTAGTTGCATCCAGTGGGGACATAATTTCGGATTATAATGACTTATAATGTCTTTTAACGCGTTGCGTTGCATCGCGCCGCGTAAACATAAAACCATGTCTGCATTTGTGATCGGAGAAATGACAAACAACAAGCGCTACCCTACACTGCTCAAAACTCGCGTTTGAATCATCAGTGGCAAATCCTT